CAACACAACGCAACGCAAATATCTGCTATGTGCTCAGTCATTTCACACATGGCACTCTTGCGAAGAACGAGTGATGAGTAGAAGGAACTGGGGATTTCCTCACCGGTTGGCCACACAGGACGCTGTTACGAGCTAATCCCGCTCCGCGATGAAGGTCAAATAATTGTCGATCTCCTTCTCGCTGATCTGCGTAAAGTTCGGATTCGTCTTCGAAACGATCCCCATTTCTATTTCGTTGGCCTTCAAGTCAAACGCCAAAGTTGTCTGCAGCGCTTCAATGGCCAAGATGATGGTGTTTTGTACATCCTCCTCTAAAGTCTCCTTCTGTATCTTTTTCTTCCTCTTCTCCAGCAGCCTCTCCAGTATGCTTATGCCTTCTTGCTCCTTATTCCCAATCACACAGGCGCGGTACCCTGCGCAGAACCCCGACGGGTCGAACTTGAAAAGGCCTGGTTCGTTGTCCTCGCCCATGCCTATGATCATTCCGCCTTGGGATGGGGGTGGGGGAAGACGTGATGAATCGGTAAAACGACGCAGCAGGGAAGAAGTAAGGGATACACGTTGCCACTCGCACGCATGAAGCTTATATGGCAAAAAAAAAAAAAAAGAAAAAATTATGACCCGTTCATATTTTTTTTTTTCTAAATAGCCATTTTGTCAACATTTTGGCTAGCTCACATGAACTAATCTTTTCTTTTTTTTCTCTCTAAATGGCCATTTTGTCCACATTTTGGCTAGCTCTTACAAAGAGGTCATAATTTTACTCAGCGATGAGGGGGGCGGTGCGCCATCCTTTTCCCCATCTCGATAAACTTACTGCAAGCGTGCAGCCTCATGTACGCGTGCTGCGTGAAGACCTGAATTTTGTCGCAAATGTTCCTGCACAGGGTTTCTACGTTAACATTGTGCCCATTGGAATACAAGAACTCGGCGGCCTCTATCCTAGCCTTATAGACCATGCTGAGGCAATCTCCTGGCATTCCCACCATGGAGCATCCGATTTCGTCGGTTATGTTGTAAATATTCGTAATGTTGTTGTAATCTAGGAGCTTGTCTTGCGAGATGTACTGCGTTGGCATTTTTTTTTGGGAGATGATTACGGCACAGTTTTCCCCTTTGACGCCGATGGAAGTTATGTTGGTGTTCTTCACTGCCTTGATGGCGTATTCTGCATGGTGAAGTTGCAGCGGTGGAGGTAACGCGGTAGCGGTGTAGAGATCATACGGCGGCAGGAAGCCGCAAGGGGAAGTGACAACACATCCGGGGTGCTTCTCTCCCGTTCGTGCACCCTTCCATTTCTTCACTCCACCTATTCAATCCACTTATTCACTCCCCTCCTTCATTCCACTTCCCTCCCTGTAAAAACCTCCTCGACGGCACTTACCGATCTGGTAGAGGTTCCCATCGGGGGAGAAGATAGTCAGGTGCCTATCGTACATGCTCTGCGACTGTCTCACCATGGTGGCCAATCTCGATCGCGATGAGTGAAGTGTGGAATGCTTTTCTTCTTCTGTTCCTGCCGCTTCTCTTCTCTTTACCGTCGTATGGGCAAAAAGCGCAGCACTGGTGAAAGGTGAGCCCAGTATAAAGGGTGACCTACACTACGTAAGCAGCGCTTGTGCTGTGCCTGTGAATGGAACACCTGGAGCAGGTACTTCCCGGTTGGTGTGCTTTCGTTTTTGTATCTTCTCCCACACGTGTAGCCTCGTATGGTTGCTTCATCAAACTCGCGCCACTCAACTCGGCGGAAATGCCTCGTTCGGGGAGGTGGAAGGGAAAAAAAAAAAAAAAAAAAAAAAAAAAAGGCCTCCTATATATGAGTGACAAAATAGAGAGATGAAAGAAGAAAAAAAAAAAAGAAAATAACACATGGGTGGATCACAAAAAAAGAATTGCTCATTTTGCTAAACGGAGATCTGTGCACTGTGGCTTGACACTAAGCACATGAAAAAAAAAGAAGAAAAAAGGCGCTTTCGTAATTGTTATTCGCTGTGCAGTCGTGCAGAGGAAAAATGGAGTCAGGCGCGCTTCTTCCTATAGTTCCATCACTCAAATGAGGTTTTTCTTTTAAGCATTCGCTTTAGGGTGATTCCCTTTAGGGTGGGCGAGACGGACAGATACGTAACGACCCTGCATGAACGGGATAATGACGTACGTTTTCGCAGAGCTTTGAGGGTGGCATATGACGTGCACATATGATGAAAAGTTTTTTTTTTCCGAGTGGCAGTAATACAAAAACCACTTTGAAGTATCACTCAGTTGAGGTGTAGCATATACCTACTCTCCTTTGGAGTGACTTCCCCCTTTTTTTTTTTTTTGTATGAACCCACTTTCGTTGCAGCGAGGAAAGATGGAGTTCGGAAGCTTCTACCCCCGTGTGATGAACAATACGGTTGGCGGGTGTGCTCGCCTGGAACCTCCTCGTGGGGGGAAAAAGCTCCCCTCTTTCCCCCCTCATTATGAAAAAAAAATTGGCAGCACAGTTGTGTGCATACGTAACAGAGAGAGCATAGAAATCCTTGTGTAGCTGCCTCCGTGAACGCACCAAGTATTATTGCAGTGGGTGGAGGGAGGGCGAAATGAGGATACAACAAACCTCTCCCCCGTCACTGCTCTCCTTTCACCGCTGAAGCAAGTGACGGAACAGCACGTCGACATTTTTCACGCTGTTCCTTTGGGCCTCCTCAATGAAGGCGTAGAGTATCTTCTTCCCCATCTCTTGTATGTACATGCGCATGAAGTTTTGATAAACCAGGTTCTTTAGCTGTGTTGTGTGGGGGGGAAGCGTGACACGGAGTGTGTGTTGTAAAGGAGTAAACCTGGGCAGTGTGTGTTCTGCGGTCAGAGGTTACTTCAATGCATCATAAGGGAGTAGCGGCACGCGATTACTTAGTTGCCTCCATGCAGTCGCACCCATCGTTCCGCTTCCCCATGTGGTGGCACTAGGCCAGTTAACCTACCCGAAAGCTTATGCAAAAGTCGACGTTGATGCAACCGGGTTTTTCTTCAATGATCCATTCGGTGTTCTGAGGGGGGGGGAGAGCGATGGTTGAGTGCACCGGCGAAGGAACTATGGCACATGTAACATCACTGGTGGTATAGCCATCGAAGCGGCATTCAATCTTGTAACACCAGCTTGACGTAGTGCAAATTGTCTTAGTGAGCACTTGGGATGACTTTGTTTTTTTTTTTTTTTTTTTCTTTCCCTATTTGTGCATACCAGATGGTTAAACAGGTTCGTGTCTGCGCTGGAGACCTGAAAAAAGTAGAGGGAAAAAAAAAAAAAAAAGGAGAGTAAGCTTAATGGACACGCCGTTACGAAGTGTATTCATCAAATGCTCCACTGGAAAGCCCCCTATACGAGTATATCATCCCACTCGGTGATGCACCATTTGCAACATCCCATTATACCTTGACGGTGGTAGGCACCTTGAACCGAATGACGGAATGGTATGATTCCTTGAAAAGGAGATTCTCTATTTGGAGGAAAGCCCTGAAGTGGTCCTCCTTCTTGTCCGTTATTTTGCTTTTCTGCGATGGGGGGGAGGATAGGCGATGCGGGTTGGCTGATGAGTGACTCTTGGGGGGTTAGCCCATCATGGATTCTTTGGTGATTTTGCAGGATATTAATCACTCCATGCAGGCACAGGGAGAACACCCTACCGTGACGTAGGGCAGAAAGTGACTGTACCGATCCACATTCAGAACGGTGTAAAAGAACACATGACTTTGGAAAATGATGTCTAGGTTCTTCCGATACGTTACGTCCTCAGCTGGGGTCCAAACTTTGTTCCTAAACAGAGAGTACCTTCTTCGACAGACACAGGAGCTGCGGGTAGCATTCACTACCCTTTTGACGAATGCCTGGCTGGGCGCGTTCTTCTTGGCAAGTCGGGCAGGCGGCATCCCCCTCATCCTGCTCTTGCGGGGAGGGAAGCGATAAAAGAAGGGAAACCACCACGTGTGAGCGGTATCACGTGTAGGCGACATCCCCTGTAAGCGGCATCCAATGTAGGTGGCTTCCGACATAGGCGACATTCCATGTACCCACTTTCGTCCGCCCAACTGCTAGGAATGATCTAAGTGTCCATCTCGCGGGGGAAGGGCTTCTCAACTGGGATGTGGCGTCTGATCATCCTTTCGAAATGGGGGCAAAACCCTGATGGAAGGGCTACCTTGAAGGTGCCCTCCCGTTGACAGCACTGTGCTGATGTCACGTAATGAGAGGCCACGTGCTGGGGATGCCCCTCGCATTCTTCGTGGGAACCGCACAGCTGTAACGACTGAGCGAAGGTTCGGAGATCTCCATCCGTCTGGGAGTCCCTCACCGTTTTGTGCGCCTTATTCCTCTGTGGAGAGAAGAGGTCCTCTATGCTTCTGTCGCTACAACGTGACGTGGACTACTCCCAAAAATGCACACAAAGAGAACGTACATGTCGATATTCACAAACGCGTTTTGCAACGACGAGTTTTTTTTTTTTTTTCTTTTTAATTTACTGGCCCAGGAGTCGAAAGGGGGAAAGCAAAGCGACAATCGCAACATCGACAAGGAGAGTCCTCCGTTTTAATTGTTTTGCCCGACGTACCTCCATCGATGCAAAGAGACCAAACTCCGGGAACAACAACAGAGTAATCCATCCACGTGGAAGTAAAAAAAAAAAAAAAAGAAAAAAAGAAGCAAAGAAGCAAAGAAGCAAAGAAGCAAAGAAGCAAAGAAGCAAAGAAGCAAAGAAGCAAAGAAGCAAAGGTACCCAAAGAACAAAATGCGACTCGAATGATGCAAATCAAAGGGCGCTAAACGGACCAGGGAAACGCTACCAGACGTTGGAGTCACAATTTTTTCGAGACATTGGGTACTCTTAAAAGTATAATGGGCGTCACCGGCAGTGCGACCACACTGGTAAAAAAAAAAAGAAAGCAGTGGCGCGACGGTACCGTGACAAGGAAAAAAAGGAAAAATACATAAATATAAAAATAAAGTTACTATTAAATCGGGGGTCTTATTAAAGTTACAAAAAAAACCACATGTACAAGAAGGGGATTCACTACGGGGGAATAATATACTGCTTTGATGCATTAGGGAATGAGGACGCTGTTGAGAAGAAATGATCGGTTGGGAAGAAGCAATGAGAGGTTGCAAGGAAGCAGTAATAGGCTGCAAAGAAGGACTCGTCGGAGGGGAAACAGTCACGCTGGTAAGAAGCATCTAATCAGTTAGGACGCGCAAACGGAGGCTGCTCCACAAACGGGGGCAGACGGAAGAGCAACGTCAGGGGGGGAAAAAAGCATCTAGCTTTGAAGGTAAAGGAAGAAACGGTCACACTTTTTTTTTTATTTAAAAGAACAGAACGGGTACGCACAAAGGCATGTGTGTGGGGGGTGCTGTACCTGTGTACGAGGTGACGTGGGGGTAGCGGCAACAGGGGGGGGAGCGGTCACAGAGCGATACAAAAATTAAGAGGTGCCACTCCGGGGGAGGGGCTCATAATGAGAGGAACTTTTTCACGTACACGTGTTGGCGAATAGATACATATAGGCAGGCAACCGATGCGCAGAGGGTGCATGTGGGAGGGAGACATAGACAAAGGAATGGTGATGGGTGGTACACATTGCCGATGCGACGCAGCGGTGGTGGTGCACTGCTAACTCTTCCCTGTTTGGTAACCGCTCCCCCCCTGGGGGTCTAACAAACACAATTGGCTCGACTTTCCTCCTTCTTGCTGAGCTTCAAATTTTTGGTGACAATACTGAGTTCCAGCAAAGAGGGATTATTTAAGATCTGCTGAATGAGCTCCTCAAAGCAGTACGTTATGTTGATATCATTCTTCGCACTCGTCTCACAAAACAACATATTGTTTTCGAATGCGAAGTTTTTCCCTTCATCCTTCGTCACTTCGTGGTTCGGTTTGTCAATCTTATTCGCCACCAACATCTTGATAGCATTTTTGTTTGTTGAATACTTATCGATTTCGTGAATCCACACGTCCAGGTTTTCGAAGGACTCTCTCACGGTGCAGTCGCTGCAGGGGGGAGGGAGAAGTGGGACGTACCAGGTGGGATGTGCGACGTGGGACGTACCAAGTGGGATGTGCGACGTGGGACAAAGGGTTAAGAGGGGTCACACGTTCCAGACGAATCAGACAAGTCGGACTGGTTAAGAGCTGACGGGGGAGATACGAAGCGATGGGTTAGCCAACGCACGGATGCCATCACCACCCCCTTGGTCTTTCTATTCCACTTACTACACCAGAATAATCGCGTGCGCGTTTCTATAATAGGCAGAGGTCAGCGTCCGGAATCTCTCCTGCCCGGCCGTGTCCCAAATTCCCACCTTTATCGTTTTGTTGTCTATTTTGAGATACTTCACTTTGAAGTCGATGCCTGCAGAGGGGGGGAGGAAGAAGTAGGTAGGACGTTGGAAGGGGGGGGAAGATATTACAGGGGTTGAGTTAATCCACCTGCACAACGGGACCGTTATACCAAACGGAGAGGCGCCTACAGTGTGATCCCCAAACACACTATAAGGGTGCATTGCTCGGATGACTCCTTCTTACCTATGGTTGAGAGGACCTTTTCTTCAAACTGATTGTCGGAGTATCTGCACAGGATGCTGCTTTTGCCTGCGTGGGGGGAGAAGCGGCGACGGTTCAGTGAGGCAGCTCAATGATGCAATTCAGTGATCTGCTGAGTGAGGCAGCGAAGCACAGAGAATGGTCTGTTTTTCCACCTAGCCAAGTGGACAACACGCAATGCACCGTCTCTCCCTCGGTTATGTGCACTTCACTCAGCTGCCCTCTCTTTAAAAAGTGCGTGTGCTTCTCGCAACATCCGAGACGCCGCCATCCTCCGGGGGGGGAACCTACCCACGCTGGAATCTCCAACAAGTAACAACTTGAGCAGGTAGTCATATTTATTTTTATTTTTCATTTTTTCACAAGGGACAAAAAAAAAAAAAAAGAAAGAAACGGGGGCGTAAGATGGAGGGTAGACGGTGGAAGTGAGAAGGTTAAGGGCTTAATCACGCGCCGTGCGTGCATGCGTGAATGCATACGCTCGTACGCGGTGGTGGTTGCAGTTGCGGGAGGAGGCAGGTATAATTATATAGATATTAGGGCCGATGCGAAGGGACGATGTTTGTTCTTGCGGCCATGTTTTCTGGGAGCGAAGCACTCACTGCGTGGTGGTTATTCTTCGTGAAAAGCGGGGTGTTCCGCGTCGTAACATGAGTGCTGATGGGCATTCGTGCGCCGGCACGCTGCTACGTTGCTATGTGGCTACGTTGCCAAGCTGCTACGCTGCTAGGCAGTTGCCCTATCACGATGGTAACGCTTCTGACGCTCCTGCTTCGGTGCGACGGCAAATTCACGTGAGCTACTCGCCTACCGGCAGTGGCACAAATTGCATGTTCCCCTTAAGCGAGTGGAGCGACAGGATGGAACCCAATTGACGAATGGTTATTGCGCGATGGTTATGACATCTGACTGTTATTTCAATATTGTTGCTTTAATTTTCCTTTTTCCTCTTTTCTTTTTTTTTTTTTTTTTTTTTTTTTTTTTTTCTTTTTTTTTTTTTTTTTTTTTTTTTTTTCCTTTTTTTGCATTTTCTCTCCTTCCGTTTGCGACATTACAATTTGCACCTGAATGTTGGAACTATTTCCTTTTTTTCTCTCTTCTCTTGGGGAGATGCGATTCGTATGGGGAGGGGCTGCGCGAACGCACGGTATGCCTTTTTCGGGGTGGGTGAGGAAAAAGGCAAAAACCAAGTGTCGTGCTACGGGAGGTGGTAGGACGCAGGGGGAAAGAAAAAAAAACGGGGGAAAACCGAATATTGCGCATACGTGGCACATGCGGGTGAATATATATATAATAATACCCTCTGTGCATATTTATAGGGACATGCGTGCCTTAGGCACGTTCGTACAATACGAACATTGGATATGCGTGGCGACGGTAGGGTAGCGTGGGGGAGGGGGAGTCTTAACACAGTAATCATTCTTGCCCTCTTTGCGCCGAGGAAAATACAAAAAAAAAAAAAAAAAGGAAAGAAGTATATATATAATATAGATACATATATATAAGAGAAATAACTGCCTCTTTATGTACAATGTGAGTTTTTTCTTTTTTCGTTTCTTTTTTTGTTTTTGCATTTATTTTTCCATTTCGTTCTGGCTTTCTCCTCGCCCACCCAGTGCTCCTCTTTTCCTTCCCCTGGTCACTCTCCACCCCATGCGGCGGGCCCCTTTCTCACGTCAACTCCGCTGTGATGAATGGAAAACTGAAAGGTTTAATTCAATCTTATGTGAATGCAGAAAACCGTCACTGTAATTTTTTGTACGTCCCGACAGCGGAGGAATCACATGCATAGGACTGCTCTGTTGTATGTGTTCTTTGGCCAATGTTCCCAAACGTGGAAAGGAAAAGCTTTACCAATCCTCTGTGATCTATGTAGTAGAGGTATACTGCTTGTACGCCCACCAGCAACTGCTGTTCCCCTCATGGGATCATCAAAAAGAAGCTTTGTCACGTCATTTAACTATGAGAGGTTTGTACATTCGCACTGTTGTGGTGTGAACAGAAGGGGAGAAGACCGAATAAGGATTACTTTGGGGAGAGAGGCAACCCCTCATCATGATGGAAAAACGGAACCTTTTTTTCTTAGGAGAGTGTACATCCCGGGGAGTTTAGCATCGCCCGGTTGGAGGTGAATGTTTATGGGACGCTCCAGCGGGTGGACCCTTCGTCGAGGAAAAAAAAAAAAACATACAACACAGTACAATACAATAGAGCAAAAATAAAGATAAACCAATCGATACGGTGATGATAAGATAGTGGCCGCCTTCAAACGCGGACGCGATGGACACCATTTGTGAAAAAAAGTTATGAGTGCCTGAGGGGACCCGTGAGGGGGGAGACGGTCCCCCTTAAATAGCGGGATTGTTAGTCGATGGGATCCACTCAGGTGGCTTTAAGTAGACACTATAACTTCCATATGACTATTCGCGATGAAGTTTTCATTGGTGCATCGAGGAGGTTTGTCCGCATGACTATGCTTTCCCCTTTCCTGTTTCATGTCACGGAAGGGGAGGGAGCTCCACTTGAGTATAGTCCCCCTCCCACCTCCCACACATCTTCTCCTCTCATTCAGTTGCGACGTTGTTTTCCTGGTTCGTCTCACCTCTTGAGCTATTATTCCTACCCTTCCCCATTCGGATGTCACCGGTATGGGGTGCTGCCCCAACGTGGCACTCAATTGGATACTCCCCTGTTAGCGCTGTAATTGGGGTGACAACCCGGGGGTTGCTCCTGTTGCAGCTATTGTTTCCGTTGTTGCTGATGCCGTTGTTGCAGATGTCGTTGTTTCTGCTGCTGCCCCGCGCTCCGTTCTGTTTACATGGGACGGCACCCTCGAGGGATGTGCAACGGGGCGTCAAAACCGCCTGAACAGTCAGGTAAAAAATGAAAAAAAAAGAAGAAGAAAAAAAAAAAAAGCGGGGCAGGGAACACAAACAAACGGGCAAATGAGCAACGCAGCACGAGCAACGCGGCATGGACAATAGGATATACATAACCTGATGGAGGGGGAGGAACGAGGTGGATCCCCTTTCTCCAGGTTCACACACCACCCTTCTCCCCCCTCTAGGCCGCTTTCTTCCCAGAGGCAGCGACCCCGTAGGACTGGAAGCACCTCTGAAAGAAGCGTCCCAGGTAACTGTCTACGACATCACTTAGCGCCACGCTGTCATTGGGAACGAGGGCAATGTTTACACGCCCCGTTGCATTGTTCACATTATTCTGAAGCATCTCATGCTTCACATTTGTGTAATAAGTGGCTGCATCGGCTAGGGACAGATTAGGTGGTCCGAGAAAATGGCTAGCTAGCTTATAGCCCAAGTAGTGAAAAATGATTAAAAAGAGAGAGAAAAAAAAATGATATTTTCTCGAAACAGATTCATTTAAGATCCAGCTGAGACTCATAAAGGGACCACTCACAACATTTGAGCATCGGGTAGAAAAGAGCAAAACGATTTGAGTCAAGAGGAGGTTTATTTCCAACGGATGAGGTAAATTATCCTTGGTGAAGAGATAAATATGGAGTAGGACGTAATTGAGGAAGGAGCAAATCATCTCATTCAGATATGTGTCCATGACGATGGAGGAGTAAAGATCCATGTTCGTTAGAAAGGTCTTATTGTAGTATTTGTTGGCGCTGCTCACGTGAGGGCAGGTCAGAATGATGAGTTGCACAAGGGCATTCTTCACGACAGATGGGATTTGGGGATACACAAAAGAGGTGAGGATCGATCTGCTTTTAGTGACTTTCCCATTTTGTATCCTCTCTAGGATGGTAGAACTGATGGGCGACGGGGGGTCTTCCCCTACAAACAACTTCATCACTCCGAGGTAAAGCAGCGTCCCTACGATGTTGGACACGAAAATGACCTTCGCTTCACCTACGGGGGGGGCAGTGCCAATTGGGTGTGCGGAAATGAAGAGAGGCGTTACTGCTACGCAGGCGGCGCTATGGAGACGCCGCTATGAAGACGTCGCTATGGAGACCCCGCTATGAAGACGTCGCTATGAAGACGTCGCTATGAAGACGCCGCTACGGAGACACCACTAAGGATCCCCACTGCCTAACGGCTTACCCCTGCCTATCAGGTTCAGCCTGCTCTTGAAGAAGTGAAAAAACGGGTCGCCATCGTAGCCACCCGAGCAATACTCGAACCACAGAAACAGGATAATCGTCGCCTTGACGGACCCCGCCACCAGGCTGTTGGCGTAATCATATTGTGATACCCTGGACAGCGCAGCAAAGACGACACTCTCAATGAGCTTATTGAGTAAGAAGCAAAAGGTGAAGTAGAGGAACGTGTTGATACAGAATCCCACGGAGAGACATATCGTTTTGTAATTACGCTCCAGGTATTTATAAGGCACACCTTTGACCTTAACCTTGACTTTGACCTCCTTGGAATCCTCCTTGGGTCCCTTCCGGTTAGATATTTTTTCCTTTATCTTCTTCGTGATTTTTAGTGACTGCTCGTATAGTTTGCTGTCATGATGTGTCAGGCTCATTGTTGTGGTGCGGTGGAGGTGAGAAGTAGCTACGGGGAGGGGCTTCGGCACGTGGCTGCGAGACGATGCGGGATGCGTTCGAAGCTTTCCCTCCTTTTCTGGTGTATCTCTTTCTGGGGGTGGTGGTTCAAATGGGGTTGCGTTCGGCGCGCCGTGATGAGCTTGCTAATCCCCTTTCAGGGTTGACTCTCCGAGGGGAGGAGGGACTTTCTTCTTCGCTCCAGCTTCGGCGGTGCTTCTTCCTCGATGCTGCTGGAAGGGGGAGTTCCAGTAGACTTCTTCGTTACGCATCCCTTCTGGATGTTAACCGGGAGGTAGCTCAAAGGGGGAAGCATACAATCTGCAGGCATATGCAAAACGGAAAGCGGAGAAGGGAAGGCGGAGAAGTACACCCTCTCAGGGGTTCCCTTGATGCGATGGTGTGACACGACGTGCTGTACCCTGCGGTGATGGTAAAAGCAGAGCTCGTTCTGCCCTCATTCGACTGAACGGTTAGGAACACGGGTGATGCAGCGGCGTGTGTGCTTTCGCCATGTCGGGCGGGCAGAGGCAAAAAAACAAAAAAAAATGAGGTACGATTTATCGGATGAGCGATTGGAAAGAAGTGCATACGTGAGGCTGCCGCTGCGATGCTGTTTCCGCTTGTGCGGACTGTCCGGCTTTTTATTTTTGGGGGGGGACTCTCAACACAAGAGAGAAAAAAAAAAAAAAAAGGATAGACATGGCACACTACGTCGATTTCTGCTCAATTGAAAAAAAAAAAGTGGTCACTCGTTTGTCGCGGCAGCGAGGCAGTATTTCCAGTGTGATCATGCTGGAGCTTCAGGATGGTCACGCTAAGCTGCTCCGTCTGATGGGGATGGGTCATGCTTCTAATCAGAGGGTTCGTTTCATTCTTCGATGGACAAGTGCTGGAGTCGAGGCCCGTATACACCATCGGTCTTGTTCCTCCACTGATGTGTGGTGCGGGCGCCTAGCGTAGGAGAGAAGCGCCTCCGCGAAGAGGAGGTCATCCAACTGAGAAGTGCTCACCCGGTTGGTCAGTCGCTTTGGCGAAGATTACACAATTGGCTGATATGGTTTGCTTACTCATTGAGGGGAGTTTTTTTTTCTCTCTTTTTTTTTTTTTCTCTTTCCCTTTTTTCCTCTTTGCACATCGAACCGTCGGGTCCGCTCTGCCCCCGGCACTTCAGAAGCGGGCGCAAAAGGGGAGGGAAGCACAACCAATGCAGGAGCGAAGAAGAGAGTAGGCGTGCCTTTCCAGCTTCCACGAAAGAGTATTGACAGAGGGTGGAATCACCCAAAGGAGACAAAACAACACGAAAGGTGTTTTAGCGTAACCCTGCCTGACGCAGCTGGATTAAGCAGCCAACCACAGCATCTGCCTCGTTGGAAGCACAGCGACAGACCAAGGGTGGTTACCCCCCTTTTTTGTAAACTTCTTCCAGTTTGTTCGTTCGTTCGTTAGTTTGTTTGTTCCTTAGTTTGTTTGTTCCTTCGTTTGTTTGTTCCTTAGTTTGTTTGTTCCTTAGTTTGTTTGTTTCTTTGTTTCTTTGTTTGTTTGTTTCTTTGTTTCTTTGTTTGTTTCTTTGTTTGTTTCTTTGTTAGTCTGTTTTTTTGTCCGTGCCACGACTCCCCCGCGAAGAATGGACCCCTGGACGGTACCAATTGGTCACCTGAACGACCTGCTGGCTGACGCCCCACAGGAGGAGAAAAATGAGAACACTTCGCTTCAAGAATTGGATATACCTCCGGAGGTGATTCTAGCTCTGGGACGGATGCATATTTACCACCCCTCGACGATCCAGCAGCTCTCTATTCGGAAGGCCCTACAAAAGAGGAACCTAATTGTGCAGGCAAAGAACGGGACTGGAAAAAGCATGTCCATATGTATCATCGTGGCGAGTAGGATTGTGCAGAAGGTGAAGAAGAGGCATCTCAGGAGGGCATATGGTGAAGCCGCTGATAGTGACGCCGCCAGGGGGGGAGAGACGAGCCAATCGGAATGGCAGCGAAATGGGGCACACCCACCCGTGTCCCTCTTCCTCCACTCGATAATCCTCGTGCCGACTCGCGAGCTCTGCGTACAGCTCTGTGACAACATAAAGGAGATTTCCGATCAGGGGATATTTATTAGTGGAGAAAATGAAGAACTACCACCACCATACGACAATGTTTGCAGTTCCGTGTCCCACGTCCCATCAGGTAACCACCGCTACGCAGCAGACAGTGAGAGGCAGATAGGGAAGGACTCTCCCTTCGAAGTGAGACCCATGGTACTATACGGAGGGACGGACGTAACAGAGAATATCAAGATGCTATTTTCGTGTCTTCCTCACGTAATAATATCGACCCCCGGAAGGCTGAAGCATGTGCTGAGCCTTTTGAAGCGATGCCACGTAAGGGTGGGAGAGACAGAAGCGGAAGGATGCCATACCCAAGTGCCACTCACCAAAATAGCAAACGTCCAGATTAAGCAGCTGATATTAGACGAAGTGGATGCTCTCCTCGATGAACAATTCGAAGAACAAATAAAAATGATTCTCAGTCAGGTGGTAACTCCTAAAGTACAAATGCTCTGTTACAGCTCCACGTTACTAGAATCTACCATTGCTGGGTTCTTAAAGATGGTTCATCTGCATGACATGGGCTATGTTTCCAGGTGGAAGGGTTTTTGTGTGAAAAGGATTGACCAGATTTTGGATGGCGATCGGGGCGGAGGTCTCCCTGAAGGACGTTTCTGTGAATCTCATGTGGGGGGTATTTCCCCTGGGGAGGTGCCACCAGAAGGGAAGATAAGGTGCGCCTCGGACCATGATACAGCACCGCCGATGGGCGTAGTGCCCGCGGAGCAATCCAACCAATCGGATGAGCGGGAAGTGGCGAGAGAAGAGGCTTCACTTGACACATATCACAACACGGACGAAGTGAGCTCTCCACCTGATATGTCCAAAAGCAACCGTGGACACACAAAAGTGAAGAAAAAAAAGAAAAAAAAAAAAAAAAAAAA